GAGAGCATAATCACCGGCCTCCCCTCCCACAGAGTTGTGATTCCCAGAGGCCTCTCGCTTGCCGTGGGAAACCTGGCTCAGCGTGAGCCCTCAGCCCCAGGTCATGGGATCTCAGGGCCCAAGCCCATGTGGAGGGAAGGAGTCCCAGTTCTCACAGCGCCAGGTCCCTCTTCTTTATTTAGGTTGATCTCTGAGACTCAGGGACATCGCTGGGTGAACCAACCAAACAGGTTGTGGCTGTGGGGAGGATGTGGCTCAGCAGCATGGTTGGAAGGAAAGGAAGGACTCTTGACTTCTCCAGGGGAAGGCAGGCTGGCCCCCCAGCCCCAGGCTGCACCCGCCTGTCTCCTGCTGCCCTGGGCCTTGCCTCTCTCTTGTTGAGGCTTTCACACTTGCTCTGCTGGGGGATCTCAAGCACTAGCTTGAGGAGGGAAGACAGCAGCAGCTTTGGTGCGAGTGCCGAGACCTCAGGGGGAAAGTGAATTGTAGAAGTGCCTCTACGGAGGCTGGGTTAGAATCCCGGCTCATCCACCTGTTGGGGCGGCATGCTGGGCAAGTCAGTACTCTTCCTGCATCTCAATTCCATCCTCTTTAGGATGGAGATAACAAAATCTCCCTCACCTCCATCAGGACCAGATGTAAAGATTAAATGCAAAATAGTACCCAGTAAGTGCTCAATAAATACTCATAAAATAAAGGTTGGGTGACATGGTTACAGACTTCCTACATGTGAAGAACCATGTCTTGTTCATAAAGGAAGAAGTTGGGAGATGAATTTCTTATGAAAAAGGAGATTTCAGTTGAATGTAAGAAAAAGACTCTTGGCTGTCAGGATTATCAACTCTGTAGTGGGCCTTAGGGAGGTCACGGGGTCTCAGCCCTGGAAATAGTCAAGAGAAAAGACAAAGTGTTCTGGGTGGGGCTATTCACCTGCTGGATATTTCGGATGTTTGGGAGTCTCTTCTGGCTTTGGGAATGGGTGCTTCTCTAACTAATAACCACGGAGAGTAGTCCTCTAGTTTGTATGGCTAATAACTGCTAGCCTACAAATCTCTGAATAATATTTCCTCCTTTTGCTTTACCTGCTCTGTTTTGAAGTATGGGCTGTTCCTTCTGAAAGATACATGGCCACAATCTTAAAATGCCTCTAAGGTCAGTGCATCACTGATAAAGGAAACATTCGTTTCAAACTCATTCATTCATTCGTGTAATGCCAGATATGGACTAGTCTTATGCTTAACACTGAATTACAAAAGTGAAATGTGGCTTCCTCCACCTGCCTTCCTGGTCAAAGAGGGAGGGTCCACAATGGATGAGTCTCTTCCAGAACACCTGCAAGTTTTACAAAGAAGCAGAAGCTCTCCCTAAGAGGAAATTGAACTTGTAACTTACAATTTTAGCAACTGAATACATGTGAAACCAGTGTCGCTGCCTTAACTCAGCTTTCCCCGCTGAACGAGAATCCATTCCAACAGGTCTACATTCAAGGCTGAGGAATAAGGTGGGGAGAACAGGTGGGGCTTGTGAGCCTTGAATCAGGAACATCCAAGTTTGCTCAATGACTTTGAAAGAAGGAAATTAAACCTTGCTCTAACTGATATATTGAGGCAGGTTCTTCTCACAGTCACATCAGCTGGCACAGCCACTCCTAAAGCCTTTAGTCACTGAATCAGTAACAGGAGCCAGGAGGAGTCACCCCATGACATGCTATCTCCTGGTGTAACTTCCTCTGAGCATGTCTTCTCTAACACATGGGGCCAAGATTGTACATAACCCACCCCTTGTGCCAGATTTGCACTTGATACATATGCGTTGAATGAACAGATGACTGGCCAGGTTCCTTGTATTCAGGAAGAATAATGTCAGATCATTTAGGAAGAAAGATGCGTAAACCTCACTATGTATCAGGCACCGTCTCAGTGCTTTGGAGATACTAACTCATTTAACTCACAACCATCCTATGAGGTAGGCACTGTTATTACCATCATCCCCATTTTACAGATCAGGAACCAAGATTTTAAATAACTTGCCCTAAGTCACACTCTAAATGGCAGAACCAGGATTTGGACCAAGGTCGTTTGCCCCAAGTGTCCGTGCATTTAGGCATCATGCTGGGCTGCCTCCCTGAAGAACAGGCTCTGTTCTGTTCTTGAAAATATCCAGGGATGCAGAAGGATTATGCCCATTACAGACTCCATCATCCTGCAAGTCAAAAAGCCGCCCTTGAATCTGGGTGAAACTTCTCCGGCTTTAACGTCAACCTCATTTATTAATTTATTCTGTGCATGTTTTTGAGCTTTCCTTGATGCTCCATAAACAACAGACCTTTAGTGTTCTTAAAAATAGGCATTAAGCCACAATTTTGACTTCTCTTGTATACATAAAAACTCCAATCCGTTTGATTTTTCTTGCAGAATCCAATTTTTATTCCTTCAGTCTTTTTCTATCTCCAAGCCTGCTCTAGAATGTAGAATAGAAAAGATTCCAGTATGTACATTTCTTTTTAAAAATCTCAACATTATGGGTCTTTTTCTATCAGAAAACAGCAGTGCTATCTTGTGTTCCACTTCTAGTTCTGATCGCAGATCTTACCCCTCTACAACACTTGTGCCTGGACAGTTTCTCCCTTCCCTTTGGGTGAGTTAGTCTTTTGCACCTCAAGTTTACTTTCTATTTGAATTTGGGTCTATGTTCTTGAATTTCCTCCTCTTTGTGAATTTCCGATTTGTCAAGGTCACTTTTAAAGTTGATTTTCATCTTCCAGAGTACTGGCAACGTTGCCTCATTTATTATCATCCCTTTCTTTTTCTGCTGCTCAAAGTAGTCACTGAAGGTGTTTTGGAAGATTCCCCCTTGTGGTTTCTATATGATGATACATAGATCCCTGGATAACCCAGGTGGCACCATAGTCCCCTGTTCTGTGACACAGCAACGTGCCCAGAGGAGGGGGAGCCGCAGTGTCCAGATGGCAGCAGCCAATGGCACTCTGGAAGGGCTTGACCTTCTCAGTCACACTTACAGGCAGCAGGAGAAATATCCCCTAACCCCAATTCCCACCAGTCCCCACGATGATAGATAATGAACTCTAAAGCACATGGCTCTAGTGATCTTGGATGTCTGTCATACAATCTAATTTGTGATCTAATTTGGAGCATAGATGGAAAAATCACCCAGGCAGACTGCATCTCTGCAGGAAGGGGCTGCAGGCCATGAAGACCCTCTTCTCTACTAGTAGTAGCTCTGTTCCAGGTAACAGGGCCTGAGGAGGCCCAGTCCGAATCTTATGAGTTAGCAACGTTTAAAGTGACTACACTCGCTCAAAGCACAACTGCTAAGGATAGTATGCATTTTGTCTGGAATGCATTAGACATGAGGAAGTGCAGAGAAAAGCCTTTACCATGAGGCCCCAAGTAGCCAAACAAAGGCTTGAGTGCCTGGAGAGAGGAGGGGCTTGTTAAACAGAGGCCACAGAGTGGGGCTCAAATTGGCTGGGACCACCCTGCCCCCTTTACAAAGAAAGGGCAGTAGCCATACTGAATTCCTAAGCAGTTGGTGAGTTGCTTGTATGGAAGGTATACATTTCAGGCCACAAATTCAGCTATGCGAGAAATATAACTTTTGTTGTCTAGAACTGAACTTAAATTTTACCACTGGATGGTAGAAACTGGGTCTGACAATTAATGGTCCCCCCACTGTCACTCCACCATCCCTAGGGGTCCAGTGTCTTGCTGGTTCCCAGGCATAGAGCAGTGGAGTATACATCTGGTCGGGGTCATCGTCATGGTCACCTATCCACACTGGCATCTGCAGAGAAGTCTGTCATTCTGTCTGGCCTCTAGCCCTTGTTCCAAGCAGGTCACCACTGGTCATCTCCATCCCAACTGCAGGGCTTCTTCAGATCTGCCTCCCCTCTCAGCTTCCTCCATGTTCCTCAGAACCACGGAGAACCCAGTGAGGCCTCCTGACAACTTTTCTGCCCTAGTGCTCCTGCACTAGAGGGTTTTCCAAGAGATTCTGGATCTTTCCATTTTCCTGAGTTTCGTTCGGAAATGAGGCATGGGTTCCCTATGCTCTGGGATTCCCTGAAGCTGTGGAGTTTTTGTATGTGGGCGTGTGTGCACACATTGGCTTGTACTCGTGCACACGCACGTGTACACAAACACGGACACGCAGCCACAGAGCTTCTTCTCAGGGCCTTTTCAAAATCTAAATTCTCTGTTTCTAGTGGGGTGGGGATGCTGAGGGTTTAGGGTATGCTGTCTCTTACTGAACAGTCTTTCAAAATTTTTGTTTATGGCATAAATTTTATGCTCCTAGTCCTTCAAGGTTTAGGCTTTTAAAGCTAAAAAAGAAAAAAAGCTGTGTTCTTGAAGCTCACAAGGCTTGTCTCTGCTTTTCTTATGAATCATCCCTCCCCTGGGGGCAATGAATGCTGCTGACTGAATAGGGGGAGGGCAGAGCATACAAGGAAATGATGAAGGAGGGAGGGAAACCCCATTTACTATCTCAAAGCTATGAAACCAACCGTAAATCAGAAGCTCACTTAGTTTGAAGGTTTTAGGAATTCCAGGTTATAGAAAACTAAGGGTCCAGGCTAATGTTCTTGTCCATAGAACTCTGAGATGACTGAGAAATTTCAAGGGATGGCACAGAGCTCTGAGGACCAGGCAGGAGCTCCTCTGTTCTGGGATTGCGCCTTCTGACTCAAGGCGGGTCAATTTTCACGTGCAGATTAGTAAATGGAGCTTGGCTTTTAGTTAAGAACCAGCCACGTCCCTGTGAACTTTTAATTTTTTTATTCAAATTTTTTATTGTTTCCTTTGAATAAGCTGCTTTGTGGCTGGCGTTCTCACCTGACTCATTTTATAGAATGATCCTATAATTGAGGGTATGCCCCAAATGGCCTAAGAAACCCTCATGGAAAAGCCACACTCTCTGCTCTCCATCTTAGAAGCCATGTATATGCAGGGGTTACTCAACCTTCTCAAATCCTACTTCAGATGGCTATGAGTTCCTGGAGATCCTGAAACAGGTTGCCCGGGACAATACTAACAACCCTGACCTGAGCATCGTATGGATCGACCCCGATGACTTTCCTCTGGTGAGTGGCTCCGACTGGGGCACCATCCTTGGTCACCTTCAAAGTCTCATGTTGTGTTTGGCGTGAGTCCCTGAAGCGTGAAGGAGGATGTGCACCTGCAGAAACACAGTGGCCGCCCCCATCCAGTGTGGGAGATCTTCGCCACTGGGGCACACTGCACTTCGGGCCTGGTGCTGACACGACATGGTTAGACTTACTGTTCTCACTCCCCAGAGACCAGGAATCCCTCTGAGGGGCCCACTCAAGTAAGCCGGGTGAAATTATTCTGCCAGCAGTTCCATAGCTGCCCCTCATCCCACCACCACCCTCACTAGAATCTCGTTCATTTTCTGGATGGGGACCATCATCTTGAGGCCACCTGAGTAATAAAAACCAGACATGAACATTTTGCATAGAGTTAATAACTTCATGGAGAGAAGGAGCAACCACTTGGAGGGCAGAGATTGCCTTGTTCATTGTGTTCTCTCAGGTCTTAGCATAGTATCTAGCACATGTTCAATGTGTAAGAACCTCAAAAAGTCCAAACTCTTACTAGTGTCAGTGATCAGTGGCCAGCAATACTTGATTATGCTTAGTTTTAAAGAGAATAAATAGAATTTGTACAATACACGGGCCCAGTGGTAACGATAATGAATGTAACTAATATACTCTACTGTATGCCTGGAACTGTAGTAAGTTCTTTACATGCATCATCTCATCTAATCCTCTCAACGACCCTATGAAGCAGGTTCTGTTATAATCCCTATCTTACAGACGAAAAGAATGACAGCTGGAAAGTTTAAAGCTAGTAAGTGGTAGATGTGATATTCCCACCCAGGTTTATGTGATGCCAAATCTTTGTCTATTAGTCAATAGACTTTAGGTTGAGCTAACTGCTGGTAATCAGTACAAGTTTAGTTATCATTAGGTTATAAATGATAACTCTATCTTCTTCCAAGAATTATCATTTGTTGCATAGGTCACAACTGATCATATGATTCAGTAGACAAAATTGAGGGGTTTTAGTGAACTCAAGGGTCCTGAAACCCAATCCTACATACAGGATGAATGAGTCAAAGGCAGAGACTTCCATGATACCTGAGACCAAGGTCATAATTCTGGGTAACCATAACAAAGTTATGGCCTCATAGGACCCTATATACTGTAGCTTTGTTTAGTTAGCCTCTGTCTGGTTGTATTTCTGATTTATCTGGACTATTTTGTTATGCAAGCTTGCAGATGGTCTGCAGTTCTCCTGACCTGTTCTATATGTTTGCCTTAGTTTTTGCGAAGGAGAAATCTTTAGACTATTTTGATTTCCAGGTTCCTGACTATCCCCAGTCTCCATCAGGCCATATATTTGCTTGGGAGACTTTCTACCACTGAACATCTCCATTTTTTTAGCCCCATGGCCCCTTACTCCTTTAGTCCTGCCCCAGTCAGAGATTAGTCCGCATGGAACCCAAGCCTGGCTGAGTGAAGAAGGTGTCTTCTTCCTTGTATGACAGTGTATGGCACATCGCTGCTTTCCCAGCCATCCCATGTAGCAGAGTGGTGCAAGGTAAGGGATTTTTTAATTGGACATTGAAAGAGAGGGGCAGGGCAATGGCTCTTTCACCACACATTAACTATAAAAGAGCCACAAATAATTTGGGAACCAACTTCGGACCATCTCTGTAATATTCTTCCTTACAGCTGTAGAAGCTTTTATAGTACATGTTTTCATAATTTGTGTTATGACATCTTTTTTTAATGCTTATTTAAAGTGCTTGAGGGCTGGGGCCAAGTCTTCAATTTCTTCGGTGCCCACAGCTGTTTTGGAGACCTTTAACCAAGGGTGACCTAATTTTACTATGATGGCATGGCAGGTGGGTCCAGCCACAAAAAGTGGCTTTCACAGGGAATGCCCTCTGCCCGCTGTCTAATTTTACTTTTTGTTGCTACAGCTTGTTGCCTATTGGGAAAAGACTTTCAAGATTGACCTATTCAAGCCACAGATTGGGGTGGTGAACGTGACAGATGTGAGTACACCCCATGAAAGCTTGCTTGGGCACCCTCAGCCTGCCCTGTTTCCTGCCATGCAGTCCAGACTGTGAGATCATGTATAGGCGGCCAGCCCCTCAAGAAATGAGCAGGACCCTTCGTCCTGCCCAAGCTCAGGAAATGTGCCAGTGTGGCCCAATCCTAGTCTCTGAGCCAAGTCCAACCTATGATTCCATGACTCTCTTCCATGGGTACATTTCCTTGCTTATGGGGCCACCCTGACCTGGTTCACTGACTATTTGGAAGTAAACTCTCCTGTATTTTCCCCTAAAGCCCAACAACAAAGTCTCTTTACACAAGGGAACCCACACCTGGAGTTGCCATTGCTCAGGTGATGGGGCAGCTGTGGCCCAGAAGCCCATGCAGGCAATCACCATTGTGCATAAATATATATATATATATATATTTATATGTAGTTTATGGTAGGATAGCCAGGAAACTACCACCAATAGTTCCCTCAGGGAACGAGACTAGATATGGGGTCAGGGCAATGGGAAATGCTTTTGCTTTTTACCTTATATCCTACCATTGTGTTTTAAAATGTTTTAACTTGAGCAATTTTAAAAATCATTATTATTTTAAAATTTAATATTTTAAAAGTCATTATTATTATTATTATTTAATAAGTAGTTTGCAAAATAAATAAATGAGGAATTCCCCAGATGATCGATCATCTACCAACAGGGTAAAAGAACATTGCTAACTGTCTCTCTCTATATATATGTATATGTATACACACAATGGAATATGTGTGTATACATATATATACAATGGAATACACATTTTCTTTTATACAGCACAAACAGGTTACTATACATACCATTCTACAACTAGGCATTTCCATTTAACAATGTGCACACAGTTCTAATAAGCGTAAGTGACCTGGAGCCCACTCAGCACAGCTACTCAGAACCCTCTGGTCTGGCTCATCCTTCATGCCTTCACTCACTCTCTCATTCCGTCCCTCACTGCAGGCTGACAGTGTCTGGATGGACATTCCAGATGATGATGACCTGCCCACAGCTGAGGAGCTGGAAGATTGGATTGAGGATGTGCTTTCTGGAAAGATAAACACTGAAGATGATGACAATGAAGATGAAGATGATGAAGATGATGATGATGACAATGATGATGATGATGATAATTCTGATGAAGAAGATAATGATGACAGTGACGATGATGATGAATAGCCCCAACTCCAAATGATTTTGTTGAAAACAAAATCACAGCTACCCACTACCTTACAGACAGCACAAGGTGGCAGCAGGCAGCCCTGGCCCACGCCCAGCCAGCTCCTTTCCCTTTTCCAACCTCTCTTTTCCTGCTCCCTTCTCATCAGGAGATGTGCAATTCAGCAAATGCCTTTCTAAATCCAGCAATTCCACTCAGCAAAGACAAGTGGGGAATTATTCCCATGTTGACTGTCTTGATTGTCATGGAAAAGCTCTTGTTCTTTGCCAGACCATCAGCGGTCATGGCAGTGCCAGAATCTGGCAGACTGGGGAGAATAAGCCCCTAACACCTCTACTCAAGTTTACTTGTTGTCCTTGGCTATGACAGTAACAGAACTGACAGCTTGCTAACTCACTAGCATAGAGTGACCTTATAATCAGAGCCCAGGGAAGACACAATCCATCAATCCATTTAGCTGCCAGGCCTAGAACATCAGTTAGGATCCCTCCTCAAAACAAGAGAATCCATTTTAGGGAAGTCTCAGCTTTGGAAAGAAGTTTATAAATCAGCTTCTCTTGGCTCTATTAAATGTATTATTTTAAGCGTAGGTCAGACTATTATGAACTCAGATCTAAGCTTTGGATGGCTACTGAGAGGCCTTGAAACACAGGTGTACAGATGTCACCACCATTTCTATTATATTAGGATACTGGGATAGGAGGTTGATTTGCTCTCTGAACTTCCCTCTTGGTGACAAGTCTCGCATATACACATGGGGGTGGAGGGAACTGGAAGGATTAAAGGTTTTTAATTATTTCTGATGGCTTCATGTCTCTGATTGGATCAGCTGGTGTCCTGGCCTGAGCCAGGATCTGGATACCCCTTCTCTGTCGCTGCTAGTGAGCCTTCCCATTTGGAGAAAAGGTTGGTTTATGCAGAGGTCGGTTAACTCTCCATTCATCAGCACTCCCACAGTTGAGCAGGACAACAGTAGTTAGTGTTCAAAATGATGCCGGAGGCACTGAAAAAAATCCCCAAGTGCCTTCCAAATGATCTAAAAGTTATATTGTGCTCAGTAGTTTTAGCATTAAGTGTGCATTATAATGTTCTAATTTATTTTCTCAATCTTTTAACACATGTTTAAGACATTGCAAATTCTTTGAAAATAGGGCAATCCTTTTATGGAACAGTAGCTAACTCTGTCATTAAAGTCATAGTTTGAAAATATGAGACTATCTTGAAAATCCTCTCTTGATTTTTCTGATGCTGCTCATTCTCTCTTGGCTCCTGTTCTACCTCTCTGTTCCTTCTCCATTTTCCTTTCTGGCCCTTCTTCCTCTGCCTGTCCTTTAACTGTTAGTGCTTCACAGTATCTCTCAACACTGACATTCTTCCAAGGTGGTATCACCCACGCCCATCAGCTACCACCTATGTGCTAAGGACCTACAAGTCTGGGTCTCTAACCTTGACCTCTCTCCTTAGTTTTAGACCCACTCGTTCAACCGCTTCTGGACATCTTGGTTTGGATGTTGCACAAGCACTTCAAACAGCATAACAAAACCCAAACTTATTACCTTCTCCCCTAAACTTCTCCTCCTCTTCATGGAGTCCCAGTTTGGGTGAGTGATATCACCACGTATCCAATGGCCTGGGTGACCTAAAGGGGCCCCCTTCCCCTCTGCTCCCATGGCATTTTGTGCATACCCCAAATCATGGCACTTATCATTTAAATTGTAACGCATATTTGCATGCCTGTCCTTTCACTAAATTTTAGGCTCCTTGGAGACAAGGAATTTATTTATCTTTGTATCCCCAGCACCTAGCACTTTGCTCAGCACAAAAGAGATACTCATTTATTGAATTGATGGGTAAATAACTGATTAATCAGCATTGTTGGATAACAAGGCTTACAAGGCCTCCTTACTTTCATTTCTCCCCCTCACAAAACAAGGCAGACACTTCCCAAGCTGGACTACATTGCCATCCAGCCAGGCCCAACCACACCTCAAGTAAGCTCTTGGGGCGGTAAATTTTCAAAGCAATCTTTGAAACTAGCCTTTCAAACAGTCAAGGAATGTGCTCTGTCATGAAAGTGCTTTATTTCCCAGACCGGGAAAATTCCCTTGTTCTCAGAGGTCTGAGTAATATGCTAAGTTTAAATCATGTCATGTTGCTCCTACATTAGAAGCACTGAGTGTTCGTTCAGCTAGTCCTATCTGTAAGTAGCAGTGCTATTTGGTCATTGGTCTAAAACTTTTTAAGCTGATATTTATTGAATGTTTGGTACATGCCTGGAACACTATGCTATGTGCTTTACATGTATTATCTCATTTAATCCTTACAAAGTTCTTATAAGATGGATCTTGTTAGTATCCCAGTTTTACAGATGAGGAAACTGAGTGACACAGGGGGCTCAAGTAATTTTCCCAGGGTCACACAAACACTTTAAAGGAGTGTAAATGTAACCTCATTTCTGCACTTAAATCAAGGATTTAAACTAAATTAAATTCCTTAAACAATCAGAGGATTCCATTTCTTTTCCTCAGACGATGTCTAGAGACGGACTCAAGTGAATTTCCCATAATCCTTTTTTACTGCTTAAGTCAAGATGCCTTTTCCTCTTTCATTCTGGAGGCCATAATCAATTTAAACAGTATTGGAAAGATAGGCTAGTTAGAACTGTGAGATCTGGCCATCCTATTAGGAAAAAAAATTCATGGTGTTATCAAAAATGTACAATCATTTTCAATGTATTTCTTTACAATATCATCTCATAACTTGAAATGAGCTTGTCTTTTCTGTAACAAGGTTGTGTACTGTCTAGGCCCTAGTTTGTATCACTTAGAACCAGAAGGAGGTCATTATCAAATAGCTTTGGATCAACAATCCCTGATATACCCAGACATCCACATCCCTCTTAAGCGCTAATGGGTTCTGAGGCTCTGTCCTTGAACTTCTCACTCTCACCAGGGCTTCTCAACCCTGCTCAGTGAGTGTAAGAATCATGTTCAAGCTTATTTTAGAAAACACAGACGCCTGTCACCAGCCTAGACCTACTGATACACCATCTCCAGAGCTGGGGCCTGACCATCTGCATTTTAAAAAGAGTCACTGGGGACTGACACAAGCCAGGGTTGGGAACCACCCCTCATCCTACTCCCCTGGGTCATCTCCTCCAGCCTGTGGCTTCTAACACCATCTCTCGCTAGCCAGGCCTCTCCCAAGCACGAAGCCCCTCACTCCAACTGCCTCCCCTGGACAGCTTCATCTGGGTGTCCCATAGGGACCTCAGATCAACCCAGCTGTGGGGCTTTAAAGGGGTGTCCTTAAAAAGTAGCCCTCTTTTCCTGACTGAGATTTGAACCAACTTAGAAATTAGGCCCAAAATTCAGCAGTCCAAAAGATCACCGTTATTATGTAAAAGTGGTAATTTGCAGACTCGAGATTAGGAGAATGGGCTTCCCAGTTTCCCGCCTCCAAGTGCAAGCCACCCAGGGTATCAGATGTGCAGAGAGGATCAGGCCATTGCCTCTTAGTGGGCAAGGATGGAGAGGGAGGAGAAAAGGACTGGATCCCCCCACACTAACTTCACCCTAAGAACTTCATCCTAGGAAACATGGACAAATGGCTGTTGCCTGCTAACCAGGTAACTAGCTCCATCTCAGTACAGGAATAGGGGCGGGCAAAAGGCCAGCAGCATTTAGGAAAGGGTCCTTCTTCATAGACGCAGAGGAGTGGGGAAGAGCCATCTCCCTCTGACAGTGTTCAAGCCAGAAACCTTAGTGCCATTTCATTGTCCCCACTCCCACATCTAATAGGGAGCAAGTCCTGTCCTCGTCTCTTCATCCAGCTGTGCAACTGAGGCTTTACAATCTCTCAGCAGCGTTACTGCAAGGTTCTGACTGCTCTCCCGTCTCCAATCCAGCCTGCACACTGCAATCAAGTGATCTTTCTCAAATGAAAAACTGATCATGTCACATACCTGCTTAAAATGCTTCAATGGCTCTCTATTCCTCATAGGTGTTAAAATTTTTTTTAAAGACTAAGAGGCCAGAGAAGGATGAATGGCTATGAATGGAAAGGTTTTGACTGCCAAATGTCAAGTCTAGGCTGTGGGGTAGGAAGTTGGGGAGGAGAAACGAGGTAGATCTTGTAAAACCAAGAGTCCTTGAAGCGTCTTTCCTCCATAGGAGGAAAGCAAAGCCTGAGCAATGCTGATGCTGGCGGTATCTGGGCTCACTGGGCTAGCTGGGGTGATGCCTGCTGCATATATGGAGCATCAGTCTTGGAATTATGGTGTCCAAATGCCTCATTTGGGACTATGGCGTCCAGTTGTTATTTTAGCAGAAGTCGAGTCAGCACCACAGGCAATGAGCTAGGGGGTCAGGTCTAACCTTGTCATGGGGCAAAAGCCAATTTGCTTTGCTGGACACTGGAGGTCAGTGTGAGCAGTCTCTTATCAGCCTCATCTCTCAAAGTGCCTCCTAACCACTTGCCCCCTCTATTCTTAGATGCTGAGGGGGGCGGAAGCTACCTGGCTGCTTAACACCTCCAAGCCTTGGCTCACGCTGTTTCATCTACTGGAATGCCTGTCCTTCCCCATCTGTGCCTGCCTGGCAAACTCCCAGCTGTCTTACTTTTTTTTTTTTTTTTTGTGAGGAAGATCAGCCCTGAGCTAACATCCATGCCAATCCTCCTCTTTTTGCTGAGGAAGACCAGCTCTGAGCTAACATCTATTGCCAATCCTCCTCCTTTTTTTCCCCACAGCCCCAGTAGATAGTTGTATGTCATAGCTGCACATCCTTCTAGTTGCTGTATGTGGGACGCGGCCTCAGCATGGCCGGAGAAGTGGTGCATCGGTGCATGCCCGGGATCCGAACCCGGGCCACCAGTAGCAGAGCGCGCACACTTAACCGCTAAGCCACGGGGGGCTGGCCCCCAGCTGTCTTACTTTAAGTAAAGGTAAAATACACTCTGTGACCCTTTTCCAGTCATGCCCCAGGCAAATTGGCCACCTCCTCTGCTGAGCCCTCACTGCACCCTGTACAGAGTTCTCTTACAGAACCTGCAATTTATTATACTTCTAAGTGTATGTCTTCCTCCTATCAGTCTGAAAGCAGCCTTAGGGAAAAGACTTGGCTGATTCTGTTCTATCCTCGGTGCCTAAGTTCTGATAGGTACTTAATAAATCTTGCTTGACTAAATACTCTCTAAGCCCTATGTAAAGCTAATTTAACAGCTATTAGTACCATTAAGCATGTGCTAGTGATTATCAAAAGTCAATCTTATCCCAAGAAGTTTTTGGCAACACAGTGTCATCTGTTCAGATTTGCTTAGGACAGCCAATTGCTAAAGAAATAGGAACACAGAATCCTCTTGGCTCAGTAAGAATGTTTCCAATGCGGGGTGTTCTCATTCCTCAAGTTAGCCAAGTCCCCAAGAAATATAGCCATCATGATGGGAAGCAAAGCTATGTGGGGGTGAAGGCAGAAGTCCCAGGCCCCACTCTCTGGGAATGGAATGATCACAGCCACCTAAATGTCAATTCATTTATTTGAGTTTGCACCTGCAGACTCAAATGTTTGCAAGGTGAATTAAGGACCTCTTTTGAATTAATCTGGTATTTTATCAATCTGAACTCTTTAGAGCAGTGATGACTAAAATTATTAATGCACCTGCAAAATGCCAATGATTCCCCTAAAATAATCATATGTGATTAGATTATAGCCACTAATTTTAGCATTGAATGTGCTGTCATATTCTCATTCATTCATTCGCTCATTCAAATATTCAGTCAATGGATTCTTAAAGCTTTACCACATGCAGATCACAGAAGGCAAAATTGAGTGGGAGATGGGAGAGCTGAGCAAAAAGCTAGAAAAGAAAAGCTGTCTAAAGCACTTGTGTCAGTTCCACAAATGCATCATCATTTTGTCTGAGATATTATGAATTTTCAGAACTGCAGAAACACATTCAGATGTAAATACAGAGAACACACCCAAAAGTCGAATACGGTTTTGATTCTCCGTGTCAACATCAGCCAGTATAACTAGAAGACGCTTGCGTGAGATGTTGACACCAATAAAGAATTACCAAGTCTCCCTTGAAGCACGGATACTTCCCTTTCCCACACTGCTGCTAATGGGCCTTGTCTCGGCACTGGGCCAGCAGGCAGTGGCTTTATCTGATGCCATCGTGATACCCCCCACTCCACTTCCATAATCTGA